GGAATTTGTCACTTTGAAGTCTTGGAAAGGTTTTGAAGAGGCCGTACTACACCTAGAATGAAAACCTTCTCAGACGACTTAACTTGCGCACAAGAATTAAGATTGAGTACAGTCTAGAAGTTAATTTGGCCAGTGTTACTTCTGGTTTTCTGTACTCTGTTTCTGTTGGATTAAAAGTGATGTAAACAGGCTTGTGAATACAATTCATATGGCCTGCAAGTTTTGTTGTCTTGTTTTGCATTGCAGAATATGGCTCTGTGCATACCTGGAAATGTAGTCTATTTTGTGATGTAAATTTGAGGTTTTACAAGTTACTGTGTACCTTTTGCTTTTATTGTGGTTTGAAGTGCACTCATCAGTACTAATCCTTTCTAACCCCGAAATATGAAAATAGCGTTGCAGTTCCTCTTTAAGAAACCAGAGCTCTGATCGCTATCATGAGCTGCCAACCCTTGTATAGCAGTCCGGTCCAAAATGGAACCAGAAACGGGTTCCTGACTGGACCTTAAAAGAAATGAAACTACTGTAGCAACAGAACATCTGGGTGAGATTTGGGTATTGATTTCTAACCAAATATGCAAAATAGGACACAACCTCCTCTTGAATGTGATGTTTTTTTTTTACATCTAAGAGGAGGGCCTGGCTGCACAGGTGAACATGTGGGAGATTTACACATGCTGTACTGTGACGTTTGTAATAGACAGGCACAATTATGCACATACAAAAAATTTCTAGAACTTGTAGAAAACCTTTATTCTTACTTCCTGTTAATTTAGATATCGCCCTTATGGTATGAGATGCACAACCTGTTATTTACTGTCAAGGGACTGTTTATACAGTCTGGTGAATTACTGTCCTAATTAGGAACAGCTTTGCACTTAATAGCACTAATTAATAAAACGGGGTACATGAGAGATGCTTTCCTTCACCATTAGGCAAATATTTTCCTGCAGTGTTCCGATTAATCAATACAGGTTCTTGGCTCTGGTATTCAGTTTCAAGTGCTCATCACTTCAGTTGGCATCATTCCAGCCGCAGTATTGTCAACTTCTGCATCAGGATTCCACACCATGGCAAACCTTTGGTCCAGCTCATCCTTAATTATAAGAGTGAAAGTGATTTGTCATACACTACACTAATTAAGCAATTAATGATCAGTTTGGTACTATTGGAAGATTTACCATACTGCGTCAAGGTTTCAAAGTTGACCACCCCTGCAATAACTCCTCAACCCAAGGGAGCAGACTTAATTTTCCTGTTGCACTGAAGTCCTCTGGCCCAGCATTAGGTATACCCTTAACTGTTCCTTGAGCTTGCAAGTTGATTAACCTGAAGATATCCAAGTTTTTGTTTTATGCATGTTGCCTTAGGGGTGAGGTATTATTTAATGGGGTGAAAAACAAATTGGACATGGGTGAGTGCACAAGAATGCTCAATAGTGGCTTCAGTATTTATTCAGTTGAAGTCTTTTTTTTTCATGCTTCTTGGAGAATTAACTATTGCTCAGCTTGTCCATTAGTCTTAAAGGAAGCAGATTTCTTGACTGACCCAGATTGTCAAGGTTTTTTGGGGGGGCATTTGGCAACCCCACTGAAAGGAGAGATGGTCTGGCTATTCTCTAGGATCCTACTCTGCTAAGTGTGTCATTTGCCATCTTTTTCAACAGCCTTGGATCTGACTGATGGAAAGTTGTGGATAGGAGAGAGTGGCACTACTGGCTGAGATAAGGGAAACTTTCAGCATTGGAGGAGAGATAACCTGCAGGTGGCAAATGGTAGAAAAGGCAGCCTTGCTTTCCTGGCAGTTAAGGGATGGTGTCCAAGTGTCTTCTGTAACTCGGGTAAAGCTCTCTCTTGTGCATTTTAAGGAGGCTGATCAGGTAGTTGCATCTGTAGTTCAGTTGCTGTTCAAGAGGTCTATGCCTGAAATGGGACTCGCACCCTTTTTTCCTGGCAGTTGTATGCTGTGACTTGTCAATGTAATTTCTTGCACTTATGGGCTATCCAGTGCAGTTTAATTTTACTTTCCTTTTCTACACATATAATGGAGGTTGTTAAAATTTTAGCATGCAAAACTGCCATCCAAGGGGTACTTTGGGATTGAGGTTTTGTTATTGGGTTGACATTCTTGTTTCGTTTGGGTACCAAGTGTCATTTTTATAATGTCATTTCTAAACTGTTCCTTAGAAATTACAGGGAAGTAGAGCAAGCCAGATTGAACAGTGAATAAAACCTTCTCATTCACACTGGTGATACTTGAATGATGGGGGGGTGCTTTCTTTTTATTATTGCAAAGAATTTCTGCTGCCTCTAGGGACATAACCGATGTCTGAAAGTAACCAGACTTTCCCTCTTAATTGTGGTGCCAGGTCAGATTCTCCAGTGGGCCTTGACCTGAAACAGCCCGTCTTGGTGTGGTGCTGGCCCTAAGGTGTTTCACATTGTTGTGGGAGGTACATGCAGAGAAACAGGGCTGTGCTCTTGAAGACATCTGGTCTAACCGGCTTCAAGTACATAACAAGGGCAAGGTTAGAATGCATTGAGGAAGCTAAAGTATTGCTTTAGTCAATTGTCAGTGCACTGTGCACCTGGCAGAGGTGCTAGAAGATCCACACAATTGTGGAAACAGGATAAGAAAGCTATACTGAAAAGCTGGTCTTTCTTGGTTGAGAAGATAAGCTGTTTTTTTTTCTCGCAGAGTGGCCTAAATAGTATCCAGGGCAAATTAATTTCTGCGATGCAAAGTTTTTCTGTAGTATTTATATTCTGCAAATAAACTTTTTTCACCTGCATTTATTCAACATTTGTACCTGTGGGACTGTGATGGATTTCATAAACGAACAGTTTATTTAACAAGGCAATTAAGAACTGAAGTCCAAGGTGTGTGCAGCCCTTTAGATCTCAAGGACTATCAGTCTCTCCTTGTGCTCTTCTATCAGCTGTTTTTCAGAACGGACAACCCTTTTTATAAAGGGGACTGCAGACCAGTGTCTTGGAGAGACAAAAATTGTTTCCAGAAATGAGGTTGATGTCCTTGATCTTCAGCTCAGGTTCAGTGAATGTGCTGCAGAAGTTTTGGTATTCAATAAAATGACCAGACAAATTGCCATGTATCTGAACCCCTCAAAATGTGAGTATTTTGCTCTTTTTGAGGCACATCTTTGAAGCAACTGTCACACTGGGACGACTGTTTGATAGGAAATAATTTGAGGAATTAGCCTGCTCATTTAGCAGATGAGTATCGCAGTGACCAAAGGCTAAAGCATGAAACATGGCAACAGCTTCTTCAAATTCCCTGCCAGGAAGGCCTCAGTATGTCAGGACTTGGAGTGGGAGCCTCCCGATAAGGAGCCCTTTATCTTAAACGTGGACGTGCCTAGTCCATCAAGTAACGAAATGTGGAAGATGTCATCTTAAACCAGGTCTAGCGTCCAAGCTGGAAAAGCAGTCCGTCGGATAATGAACAGGCTTGCCCACAACTGGAGGAAGTGAAAGTTTCCCTTACTAGCCCATGTTCACACAGAATAGCCCATCTTGGCTCTGTTTAAATGAACCCTGGTGTTGAGCAAATTCAAGTGGGCCCTGTAGAGGTTATATGGCAGGATAACAGCACCTAGTCTGTCTAGACTCCATTTAGCCACAGATTTTTCCATTTATAGTCTTGACAGGACTGTTATTGTGGACTCTTGTTTCAAATCATGAGGGAAGTGCTGCCTGTATCTCTGGCTGCTGAAGAAGCAAAGGGTTAGATAATGACAAATCAAGAGTCTATGAAGCATCTTTTAATATAGAACTAATCATCCTAGCACCTGCCCACCCCTGTGTTCTGGCTACGATCCTGCTACGTTGTCAGTGACCCTGATCAATCGTGCCATTATCAATATGAGGGTGGGGAGGACGGGGTAAGTATGAGTAAGTAGGATCTCATGGTCATAGATCTTCTGTGTAGGCTGGCAGCTATCCAGCAGCTGTCTTTATCACCTCCACTTCATTAATGGCCGCTCGTGGGAGGTCAGCATTGATCAGCACGTATGTCTCCTTGATCGCAGGAAGATGGAGCTCTTCTGTAAATATGGCGTGACAGTACATGAGTAAAGAGCATCACTGAAGTAGCGAATAAACTGCACCTGTCCTGGTGCATCTGAAGCAGTAATCGTTTTGAAATGCTGCTGTAGAAGAATCTGAGTGGGGGCATAAACCATCCAGTTCCCTCCCTGACTTTGCACTTTTGCACCGATGGGGTCTTGTCTGCTCACATTCGCTTGTCTGCTGTTGCTGAATACAAATGTCTGTGTACCAGCTGAAAGGCAGTAATGACCTACCCCCCATTTTTTTTGCCTCAGTAACAGACCATTAATTTTTAGTTCTCCACAGCCTCTCAACAGCCTTCTTCAGTTTCCCTTAAAGACATCTCAGAATGGCGATATCCACCGTTTGTTCGAGTCCGATTTCCATGTTTCAAGGTCAATGTAAGAAACCCTTTTCAAGGTTGCTCAGAGGAAAATCTTGCAGTAGTCCTTGTTGTGCTCCACCAAAATAGAAATAGACCTTTTTAGTTCTTTTAAGGCTGTTTATTGTAATAACCGTAAGCGTTTGGTAGGAATTGATGTTGGACATAAGCAAGGCAGTGCAGTCGGAGTGTTCAGCACAAAGTCCTTCCTCTGCATTTTAGAAAGGCAGCTAGTGAAAAAGGTTTTAGTGTTCGGGATGGGTAGTCCAGTTCCTGGAGGGCCAGTGTGTATCTTTTCAGGGAACTGGCACTTGGAGAGCTGGGTGGGGGGGAACATGCATACTTATGTTGGTCCCATTATACCAAGAATAAGAATTTTCAACCTTGGTTGCTTAATTGGGGTACATTTTCAAAGCGACAACTTAAGAACTTTTTTCCACCCCAAACAAGCTAAATGGTGCCATGGAACTAGCATCTTCAGGTCTCCCGGTTTGTCGGACCCCAACAGGAGCTGCACCCTAACATGTCTGTCCTTCCTCCGTCTCTCTCAGACATGACAACGATCCGGAAGAAGCTGGTGATCGTGGGCGATGGTGCCTGTGGGAAGACGTGTCTACTGATCGTCTTCAGCAAGGACCAGTTCCCCGAGGTGTACGTGCCCACCGTCTTCGAGAACTACATCGCCGACATCGAAGTCGATGGCAAGCAGGTGGGTGGCACAGGACAGGGGGAGAGGAAAGCGGGTTTGAGTCCAGCTGCTTCTAGCAAACTGGGCAAGAGCTGTGCCCTCATCAGAGATGTCCTACAATGTAGTTTAATATCCCGATTGTCATACAGATAGGTAGGTATAGATAGATCAAAAACCAACTAGCGTTGTATTTTAGTGTTCTGTACTTAACATCCTTAAGCTTAACGGCAAATGCATACACTTTATCTCTTTTTTGAACTTGAACTTTTTTTGAAAAAATGAGAATTTATTGTAGCTTTTACTATAGACATTAAATTTGAAGTAGCGAGAACAAGGTCTAACAAAAGTTGTCAACGTTGCAGTACCTGTAGTTTTATGTAGACAGCCAGAACAGCATTTCAGGTTTTGCAAACTTTGCTGACAGCAGATGGGAAGATGGAGGATTTTTTGCCGTCTCTGCACATTTTTGGTTGCTCTTTGCAGAGGCGTATTGTATTATCTTTACCTTTGGCTTGCCTGCAAGTTGACACATTGGCGGCTTTGCAGAGAAACGGAGCGCTGTGATGTTGGCCGCTGGTGACTGAGCAGTAGCCCATTAAGAGTGCCCACACAGCTGGGCTTTGACAGGTTGTGAGAACTGTCAGTATCAGCGGAGATGATTATTGGTTGTGTCCTGTGGTTGGGGAGCAGGTCCCGCCCACGCAGCATTGACAGGCCGCGTGCACTGTGAAGAACGGCTTGGCGAGATTAATTTCTCAAAGAGCATATGGTGCACAGCAAGTGGTTTTTGGAAAATTGACATTAAACAGGGTAATGATAGTAAGCAGGATGATGGGTAATACGGTCACCTCTAACTTCACTGAAATTCAAAGGCTCTGGGGTTGGAGAACCCCTGGAGAAGGGAATGGTGACAATTCCGCCACTTTCAATGCTCGAGTTGCTTTGGCAGAGAAAGGTGAAGCCAAGCAGTAAACTGGGCAGACAAACTGCAGATAGTGTACTGTTTTCAGTGTTTGTTATTCAGCAACGCTTCAATCTTTTAAAAGACAATTAGCAGGCATCTTGTCTTCGGTGGACTCCGGTTTAGAAAAGCTTAATCGTTGCCTTCTGGGTTTAATTCATCATTAATAAGTATTTTAAATATTGTAACTATGCCTATTGCCAGCCTAAAATTGAAAGCAGCTCAGCGTATTGAATAAATACCAGATTTTAATGTTTTAACTGTGAGCCAGTTGGCTAAAGGCCAGTGTAAAGGGTTGTTGTACTCAAAATAAAAAAACAGAAATGCAAAACAGTACAGATCTAGCTGTTCATGGAGAAAGCCAGTCTCTGTCCTGTGGGGTGCAGGACAGCTATATTGGATAATAAAGGTATTACTGCTTAAACTTTAATTGCAAGTGGACTCATTCAATTCCTTAGAAGCTGGTACTGAAAAAATTGAAAAAATGAAGTTGGCTTGGGTGTGAAGCATGAACAGTGCATTCTAACAAGCAACTGCTGAATAGAGGCTGCAGAACCAGCTAGAGAATAAACAAGTTTGTCAAGGTGAATTACTGAATTCCTGTCTAAATAGTGATGTCAAGACAGACATTTGTCAGCAGTTCTGAGCCTTTTTCTCCCCTTTTGTGGATTTTCAAGCTTTATTTTTAGACGTCTGCAGTTGTGGACAATAAGGAGCTCTGCATTTATGATTCAGTGCTAATGATTAGACCCAGAGATATGCTGGCTGTGCAACCAGCCAGATGGCAAAGTCTCCATTATTCAATGGGTTATCAGGGGGTGAAGTAGGAGATCGGAATTAAGTAAGTCATGTGCAAACATACCCAGTATGTCCTGGGAAAAACAGGAACAGGAAATTTTTGCCACAGACGTTCCAGTTTAGACATTTCAGCACTGTTCACTTGTAGCTCTGTTGATACGATGAAAGACCTTTTGATATAAAAATGACGGCTCCAAAATTTCTACAATAGGGTTACATGTACCTCTGGTAGAAGTTTAGGGTTACCAAAGCAATAATTGTCAGAAGGGCTATAGTGACAGAACTTGTCCTGCTGTGTGGAGAATCCTAT